GTTGTTTCTTCTTCCGCTGGTTGGCATTGGGTTTCGTTCTCCTGTTGACTCGTTTCTTCTTTCTGAAACCGTTTCGGCAAGCCCAGAACTGCCATGCCCAAGCCTCGGCACGTGCTTCTGCGGCCATATCAATCTGACACTCCCCGTATGCTCTTACGCACGCCTAGCGACCGCATGCGCCCGCCCCGCGTACGCAAACCCTATCTTGGTCTCCCAGAGTGTCGCAAGGACAAGAGGGCACCCCCAGCAACCGCGCGGCCGCCCCGACGGCGGCCCGATATCGCCGTGGTTCTGCCGCTCGCGCGCCGTTCCGCGCAGGCTCGTGCCGCGTTGACGCGGCGGCGGCGCACGCGCGGGCGTTCTTCGGAGGGGGGCCACGTCGACGCAGCGGTTCGTGATGGTGCGATGCTCGTGAGGTTCGAGGTTTTCGGGCGTTTTCGTCGGCTCCAAGCCTCGGGCTGCTCTCCAGCAGCCGCGCCTCGCCGAGGGGGGTCCCAGCATCTTCCCGAACGACCGCCGCAGACCCGAGTGACGACCCGAAAATCAAATTTCCTGGCGCGGGTGTTCAAGGTTGAGCTCAACCAGCTGGCTGAACTCGGCCAGTGTTGGGCGATCTCGGCGACTGTAAAGCGGCGGTCGTGAAATCTTCAAGACGGATCGGCTCACGGAGTGGCCGACGCCAACGCCAAAGTCATGGCGACGTGGCTCACCAGCAGAATGTGTTGGGAGGGGGTGGGACCGCGTTGGGGGCGGCGGGGCAGGAACCCAGGCATCCAGCGGCCCAAGAAGGATCCAGTCACTTCACGTGTGCAACTGGCCTCGATAGGCTGGCAGAGCGGGTGGGTTCGGATGTTTTCGAAGCCCCCCCACTGTACACGGCATCTTTCCGCTCCGCCTCGTGGTCCCATCGTCGACGATGTCCGTTCGATGCTGCACTGTAAGGCAGCTCGCCCCGAAGATCCCTCAAAGGCGGCGAGACGCGCAGCCTCTTTCTACTTCTGCTCGAGACCCTATCCAGGACAAGTGCTCCATTCCATCATGCATGGGGAGCTCGGGCAGGCGGCTCGGGGGAAGGGGCCGATCTCGCCACCGCCTCCTCCTCCTCCTCCTCCTCCTCCTCCTCCTCCCGCTCCTCCTCCCGCTCCGCCTCCTCCTCCCCCTCCTCCTCCTCCTCCTCCTCGGCCCCTGCGGAGCCGGAGGCCCTCGCGTTTCCCCGCCCGCGCCGACTCCGCGCCGCTAGGGCGGTCGAGCACGCCCGTCCCGCCAAGGGGTGTTACAGTCGGGGTTGATTGGTGGGTCGACCCTGCCAAGTCAAGAGTACCCTTTGTGTCCTGTGCTTCGCGACCCGTGCCTTCTACAGTCCTACGGCAACGTGGCCCTTGGAAGGGTCTCGAGTCCTCTCGCGTGTCCTCTCCAGTCCACCCCGACTGTACTGGCAGCCAGGCTCGCTTGCCCAGACTGGGGGGCGCCCAAGCCTGGGGCCCCGGCTCTGTGCCTCTGAGAGCAGGTCAGCGTGCAGTCGATCATGTGATTCAGCAGCCTCCTCCCGAAGAGCTGGACCAGCGTCTCTCAACCAACTTGTCGGGGAGCTGGCCCGGTTTCTTGAGCACGTGCGCCTCCTTCAGCGATAACAGCAGATGTGGGCCCAGGCTTGTTGATTAATCTTGGACGCAGCGATAACAAGAGGTAAATTTCCAGGAAGCTGGGCCAGGTTTCTTGATTAATCATTTTCTTGATCACTCCAGCTGTCATTAGATGGGGTGGGAGGATCGTGCCGCATGGCCGATGCATCGCTGATACGGCTCGATGTGGAGACCGACTTTCTCCACGGCGACGGCGCCGATGCATCGCCGACGCCGCCGATGCATTGCCGATGCGACGCGATCCTCCGGTCCCATCTAGTCGGACCCCATTTGGGAGGCCTCTACGGGCGGTCCCAGACATGAGCATCGGGGCCAAGATGCGGAGCCCTGTCCCCCTTCTGCGAGGCCGCCGTGACGCCGTGACCTTGTCTTCTCAATCTCCCACCGGCATTGAATCTCAGCATCGGTCCCAGATCCGCTTCCGACGAAGCGAGCTTTCGGAGCTCGCCAGGGGAGGCGGTCCAGCACCGACACAAGAAATCCGCGCGGGTTTCCGAAAGGTGTTGTTTATGCTGAGTTTCCCTCTATGCTTCTGCTCCTGCGCGCACCTCCTTCTTCTCTCTCCCCGCCCTTGTCATCTGACGACGTGCTGTTGTTCAATGCGCAGTCCAACAGGTCCCGACCTCTTTCCCCAGGGGGTAGTTTTTCTTCCGGGACCCGATGGCGGCCCCCAGAGGCGGATATCGAGGAGCGACGCCTATATGGGAAAAAACATGTCGTTGGAGATTTCGGATTCCCGCGCGCACGTCCTTCCTCTCTTCCCGCGCCCCCCGTCATCTCTTCCGCTGGAGGTACCACCCGTCGGCCCTCACCACCGAGGACCTCCGCAGCGGCCAAGCTTTCCAGGGCATCATGAACGAGGCCTGGGGGCGGGGTGTGCCTGCAACCCTGAGACATTGAGACAGAGCTCAGGCCAGACCCGCCCCGTCTCCAGGACCCCAGGGCCGAGCGTGGCCAGATGCCCCAACGGGCGGCGGGCTCGGGGATAGCCCCGCGCCGGCCCACAAAATCCCGAGGACGACGACGACGACGAGGACACGAGCGCAGAGCGGGGGAGCGGACGACGCGGCGACAGGGGAGATGGCATCTACGGCTGCCAGGGCGGCGAGGCCCGCACGCAGGCGCTTCCAGATCTGGGCTCTCTCTCTCCTGCCGGAGGGGGGGGCCCACGAGGGGCTTTCGGACGTTTGTCGTGCGATTCGCGGTGGCCTCCCAGCTGCGCCTCGTCGGGAGCGTGCCGTGGGTGCCCGAGTCGTCCCGATGGGCCGCCGGAGGCCCGAGCCCGAGAGCCAGGCATGCAGCCTGGGCAGAGCACTGCAGGGGCCGTGGAAGACGGGGAGGCAGAGCGGGGTTGCGGCGGGCGAGCGTGCCGGGGGGAGGAGCGCGTGCGAAGTGGGCGTGGAGATCGTCGGGGGCGGCCAAGAGGGGGGTGATGACGAAGGGGGGGGTGGATATCATGGCGGGGGCCATGACATCTCCCCAGACTTCATGGCGGCTCTTCTCATTTCAATGCGTCCCTGGCCCCCCTCCTGGGCCGCGCACATGCCGCCGGCCATGATTTGCGCACCCCCCTCTTGGACATCCCCCTCGTGGCCGCCCTCGAGATCGGGGAGGATTGAACCAGCATCACTGCAACATGCTCGGGTGCCACAAACCGGGATACACCAAAATTAGGTGTCCCGTCTGGAGCGAAGACTTGGGATTCTTGTGGGATCTCCGCTTGTCGAGATCCTGATCAGGCGGGCTTGCCCGCCAGCCCGCACTGATTCCCCGAGCAGCGCTTGCACTGAGGGCCTTCTGTCTTGAGCAGTCGGGAATCGGCAGGCCTTGCCGCGCTTTCCGGTGGCCGCTTCTTGGCCTCTTGAGTGTGTTTAGGGGAACGAAGAATGACATAAACAGAAAAATTCTGAGGTCCGCGCGGATTTCTCGCATCCGCGCTGGACCCCCCCCGGCGGCGCTTCCGGCGCCGCCCCTGGCGCGCTCTGCGCGCCAGGGGGTGTCCAGCGCGGATGCAAGAAATCCGCGCGGACCTCCGAGTTGTTCTGTTTATGTCATTATTCCACTCACGGGCATGATATGCAACGCAGGCGTCGATGCTGGCAGCGGGGCCAGACGGGGTAATCACGTTCGTTCTCCTGGTTCAGACTGGTGCTGCTGCTTTCTGCTCCCGCCCCGTCGAGCCTCGACAGCTGGGGCCTCCTCCCGCCTCCCGCCTCCGCGGCCGCCCTCTGCGTCTCCAGCCGTCTTTTCGCGTGCCCCGTGCCCCGGCGCGACCCTCCGAAGCGACAGGACGCGCCTGCGGCCGCCGGCGCTGCCGATTCAAAACGTGTTTCTTCGGAGGTTGGTAGGCCTCCTACCCTGACACGTCCATGAGCGAATTGGCCGTTTTCGGTTCGCGAGGGGGCGTCGCGGCCGTCATTTTTGCGGGTCCAGGTCCGTCGGTTTCGGTCCTAGGCCGCTTTCGGGAGGTTTACTAAAGGGAGGCTTGTCCACCGCCGATTCCTGATGTCTGCAGATCGCCTGCTTTCCTGAGGGTTTCCGTCGCTGGCCCTGCCGCACTGTTCGCTGGCCGTCTGGGCTCCTGCTGCCCCTCATCGTCCGCCTGAACTTTGGGTTCACGCTGGTTTCCATGGCTGGCCTTGCCGCGTTAAACGGTGGCCGCTCGGGTTCGTCTAAGATCTCACCTCGGATGCTGCTTGTGTTGCTATGGGATCCTGCGGCGGGTCCATCCGCACATCGCACTGGCCGCTTGGGCTTCTTTATTTTTGTTCGTCAGCCGTTTGGGTTCCTACGGACTACTATGGGTGATTGGCGCATTTCGAGTGGCCGTCTGGAGATTCCCATGAGGCCTCACTTCCCGATTGGGTTCTTATGTCAGCCATCGTGGCAATTTATGTGGTGCGACTGATTTTGAAGAGCTGTTAGTTGTCAACTTCACTGCTTGCGCAATCATCCCACCCACCCACCCGCAACCGGGTGTGCAAAATCCATGCGGCAGCGATTGCGATGAATGCTTCGCGCTTGCTTGGCATCGCTGCGGCCGCGCTGGCGCGCGCAAGCTCGCGCGCAGAGCGGCCAGCTAGGTTTGCACAGCCGACGCGGCCCCGACGGCGCTGACCGCTGGGGATTGCCAAGCGCGTCTCACAGACCGCGCTGGCGCGCGGGCACTTCGGTGGGATCGTCGACTCTGGCGGGCGCGGTATCATGGTGACGTCAACCAGGGCGGTAACGATGATGATAGTAGCGATGATGGTGACAATGACGGCGATGACGACGGCAAGGCCAATGACGGCGCCGATACCGATCAAACCGATGACGATGTTGATGTCCACGTGTCGTTGACGAAAGTTTTTGGGGGATTCCGACATGCGCACGCGGCCGACGCGCGCGAATGGCCCGCGCAGTATCATTTTTCAGGGATCGTACCCACTCGTAAGCGCGAGAGGCCCGCGTGGTCTGATTTGACGACAACGTTGGGACGTTCTGATTATTGCGAAGGCCTTACGCCCAGTGCCGCCGACCTTGAAGGGAGACGGCGACGACGATAACAGCGGCGGTGACGACCTGACGCGGGCCAGAGTAATCAGGGATGCTTCTTGGGTTTTTTCGGAAGGCTCTCGGGGGCCTCAGGGGAGGAATTTTGGGGCCTCTTGGGAGCCTCATGAGGACCTCTTGGGAGCCTTGGGGGCCTCTTCGGGCTTCCCAGGGACCTCTTGTGGGCCTCTTGGGGCCTCGTGGGGACCTCTTGTGGGCCTCTTGGGGCCTCTGGGGCCTAGGGCTCGACATGTCCGTCCGGGCCCCCCGCCTAGGACGATTATGCAGGATTCTATATATATATATATATATATATATATCGTGTAATCTTTGAGGACCGACCAAAGTGGTGTAATTCACTTGTGGAACTCGCAGTTGTCAACTCCGCTACTCGCGCAATCATCCGACCCACCCACCCGCATCTTTTTGCAAAGCGCATGCGGTGGTGATTGCGATGAGTGCTTGGTGTTGACTAGTGCGTCCTTGCGGCCGCGCTAGCCCGCGCATGCTCGCGCGCGCAACGGCCAGCCAGTTTGGCGCGATCGGCACGGCCGCGGTGGCGCTGACCTCTGGGCACTTCCAGCGGGCACTTCAGTGCGAGTCGGCCACTTGGGCGGGCGCGGTGTCATGGCAACGTCGGCAAGGGTAGACACGCTGATGATGGAAGTGACGCTAGTGACGATGATGACACCGGCGGCGGCACGGCCACTGACGGCACCGATGCTGATCACGCCGACGACGATGACGGCGTCCTCGCGTTGGTAATGAAGGGTTCGGAATGAGTTGGACATGCGCGCGCGGCCGACGCGCGAAGGTGGCCGCACGCAGGGTATAATATATTTGGCACGGATCGTGCCCCCCAGCATCCGCGCAAGGGCGTCCGAATGATGTCGACCTGTGGCGCGAAGGGCCCGCGCAGCCGAATTTAAGGAAATTGGTTAACAACCGATGGTTTGTTTGAGAACCCGCCAGAGCGCGAACGCAATATTTTTTGGAAAGCCGATGTTGCAAAACCATATTTCTATGTGTGTGTTTGGGGCATTTGATTTGGAATTCCTTACGTAACCGAAGGTTCCCGAAGGATTTTGTCAGGCGCCCGCGACGACGCGCGCGTGTGCACTTTGTTGTTCCTTTCGGTTGCAAGGGGTTCTTGCGACACCACGCGCGCAAGGGCGCCCGAACGATTTCGACTCGCGCGCGAGAGGCCCATTAGGTATAGTTTCATAAACATGTTGAGAATTATTGTTTGTTCAACACTTGACAAGAGCGCGAGCGCAATCGTTGTTCGAATTTCCTTGTTGCGAAACCATGTGTGTTCCGACGTGGTGCAATTCAGCCTGCCGACCTTGAAGTTGTCAGCTCCATTGCTCGCGGAATCATCCCACCCACCCACCCGCAACTTGGTTTGCAAAACCTAGGCGGCGGCGATTGCGAGGACTGCGTGGCACTGGTTGGCACATCGACGCGGCCGCGCTAGCGCGCACAAGTTCGTGTGCAGAGCGTCCGGCTAGTCTGGCGCGGTGGCGCTGTCCAATGGGCTTTCCCCGCCGCTCTCCGCAGGCCGCGTTGACGCGCGGGCTCTTCAGTGCGAGTCGGTGGTTCGGGTGGGCGTGGTACCGTGGCGACGCCGGCAGCGACAGACACGATGTTGGCCACGTTGACAGTGACGACGGCATGGCCAAAGACGGCGCCGATGTTGATCACGCCATTGACGATGATGGTGTCCACGCGTCGGTGATGAAAGTTCGGGAAAGATCTCGACTGCGCGCGCGGCTGACACGCGCGAGTGTCCCGCATGGTGTTATTTGACAAGGGTCGTGCCCCCCATCACGCGCGCAACGGCGTTCAAATGATTTCGGCACGCGCGCGCGATAGGGACCGTTTGTCCGTGGCTGTTGAATGACAATGTTGAACAGTTTGTGGTGTTGCAAACAGTTTGAGCGCGCGCGCCGTTTTTGTGTTCTGTCATGCAATGTTGCCAAACAGTGCTGTGTTCACAAAACATGTGCAAACTGCAGTCGGGACATCATTATAAAACCCGAGCGAAACCTACGCTTCTGTTTTTTTAATGATTAGGGCATGCGCGCGGCGGCGCGCGCATGTGCATTTCGTCCCGTTTTGGTGTTTGTTATTGTTCCCCTCTTCTTCCAGAAAAGGTTATTGGAAGTTTTCATTTGTTTAAAACGAGTGTGCGCATAGTGTTTTCTCGGCGTGGATGAGGAGGGTGCCGATAAAACTTGGGTTGGAGTGGTATGGGTTCATCTCTAATCTGAACGATGGGACAGCATTATATGTAGACTGGACATCCGCACGGCGTATCGATATTCCGGGGCGGGGGGGGTGATCGTAATTCCTTCTTTTTTTTCAGAAAAGGAGGATCTACGCTGCGAACTTATGTGGCGCAACGCAATGCAAGGCAACGCCAACCATAGCAACGCAAACCAACGCAACACAACGGAACGTGAAACAATTCGGAACGATGAACAATCATACAAGGCTATGCGGGCAATTCAATGGAAAGCAAAGCGACGCCAACAGCTGCGAAACAATGCAATGTGAAACGATGCGAAGTACAGCAAAGCAATGCAATGCAATGCAACGTGAATAACTCCAAAACAGCGTAGCAGCGCAAAACAGCGCAATGCAACGCAAAGTGATGCAATGCAACGCAGAGCAACGCAAAGCAACGCAAAGCATTGCAAGTCGATGCGAAGCAAGGTAAATCAGCGCAAAGCCGCGACGAGGCGGCGACTGGGCGGCGATGTCGAGCGCGGAACCGCCAGACCGACAATCAAGCCCAGACGGCGAGCGGCGACGAGGCGGCGACGAGGCGGCGACGAGGCGGCGACGGCGAGCGAGCACGGAGCCGCCAGACCGACAATCAGGCCCAGACGGCGGGACGCGACGAGGCGGCGACGGGGCGGCGACGGCGAGCACGGAACCGCCAGACCGACATTCAGGGCCAGTTCCTCTGAAGGGGGGTAAGAAACCCTAAGGGCAAGCATTGTTGGGGGAAGATTCGGCGCAAACAGTTCTGGTCCTGGATCATTGGGGTTATTGGTGGGCCCCTTGCTTACTACAGGCCCGCGCCCTTCAGCCAGTGCTTCGTATCAGGTGCGTTTTCAATCGATTCTCGCCTGGGACAAACAAACTACGTACTGTTGAGTGAAGGTTGACGACGATTGGTGTGTCCCAGACGGCCATGTGAGTGCCTGAGGAGGAGGAGGAGGAGGAGGAGGAGGAGGAGGAGGAAACGGAGCTCAAGAGTAGGAGCTCAGTATGGGTTGGCCAGGCGGAGGCCAGGCAGAAAAAGAATAGGAAGAGAAGGAGGAGCAGCAGGAGTCGAGAGAGGAGTTGCGGGCAGGATGCTGCAGAGATCCGCCCCCCGAGGCTTGGCGAATGATGGCGACGATGATGCTGATGATGATGATGATGATGATGATGCTGATGATGCTGATGCTGATGCTGATGATGATGATGATGCTGATGATGATGATGATGATGATGATGATGATGATGATGATGATGATGATGATGATGATGATGATGATGATGATGATGATGATGATGATGATGATGATGATGATGATGATGATGATGATGATGATGATGATGATGATGATGATGATGAATGAGTGCCTTCACTCATGCAATGCGAGCGCCACACCGGAAGAGGATACAACGAGGGGGTTCTAGAAGACGAGGGCCAGGCATACATCATGAGCGAGAAAGAAGAGCCAGGCACACATGATGAGATATGTTTCCGTATCGAGGCGGTAAGCTCAGAGCGCAATAATGGCACGACCGAGGGCAACAGCGGCCGCGGCCAGAATCGAGTCGGTAAGATCAACACGCAAGAATGACACGATCGATAGCGGGTGCCACGCGGGTGCCACGGCGTTCCGGAGCGGGGGGGGGGTTGGGGAACGGAGTTCTATGGAGTTCTGGTGGTAGTGGCTCTCCTTGTTCTCATGACCACTGGGGCCCACTGCGCGCGCCACCACCCCCTGGCGGCCCCAGGCGCGGCAGCACGTTACTGGCGTCAGGCCGGGCGAGGGGGGGAGCGCCTCCTCGAAGGCGGCAGCGGCAATGCCAGCGACGACGACAGCGATGATGACGTCGACGTCGACGACAACGATGACGACAACGACGACTACCACGACGACGACGACGACGACGACGACGACGACGACGACGACGGCGGCGGCGGCGGCGGCGGCGACCACGAATACAACCACGGCCACGACCACGACCACGACAGCGACGACGGCAGCGAAGACCAAAGTGCAGCACGTCGCCGGGGTCAGGCCGGGCGACAGGGGGTGCCTGAAGGAGTGCCTCCGCCCGCTGGTCGACCAGCCTCCGGAGCACTTCGCGCGCTTGCCCCTCTGCCCTCGGGGGGCGGCGCCGTCGTCGGCGTCAACGTCGCTGCCGCCGCCGCTGTCGACGTCGTGGTCGACGTCCCCGTCGCCGTTGCTTCGTCGCTGTCGCCGTCGCTGCCGTCGTCCGTGCCGTCGTCGCTGTCGCTCTGAGGAGGAGCCCCCCCTCCGGATCGCTCCACGAGGATAGAGAGTCGGGACGTTTTTGGACGCTGTGGCCCCCTGTTTGTCTCTAGCTGCTTCTTGGGTGTGGTACCGTCATCACCCACTGTCGTCTTCACCATCCTCCCATCCCTCGCAATCCTCCCTCAGACTCCCTCAATTCTCCCCCTCACCTCACTCAATCCTCCCTAACCCTCGCTCGCATTCTCACTCTCACCCTCGTCATCACCGCACCCATAGCGCCCTCACTCTCACGCGATCTTGATCACCATCCTCGCTCTCGTCATCATCACCCCATCGGGCCCTCAGCTTTTCCTGAGGACCCTTAGTAAGGGCTCCCACCCTGGGGTTTGAATCCGAGCAGCTGCCACCAAGCCCTGTGGGCCTCCCGCTCTCCCGTGGACCACCCGCCCTCCCTAGGTGCGAGCAATCTCGTGGGGGCACATCGTGGTCTTTCTCAGGGCCTTCTGTCGGCGCTCTTGGGGCATCATGGCCCCTCGCGTCGTCGTCGACGCCTTTGTGAGCGCCAGTTGGGCAGCTTGGGACGTGCAGGCCGTTTTTCGGCACCACCCCAGCCTGCCCTTACCACCCCGCCTCCGTTCTCCGTCGCCCCCCCTCCCCGCAAAAAGGCCGAATGCGTCCAAGTCTCTTCTCCATCCTCCCTCCTCCTCCTCCTCCTCCTCCTCCTCCTCCTCCTCCTCCTCCTCCTCCTCCGCCATCCTCCGCCATCCTCCGTCCCTCCTCCTCCGTCTTCCCCCACCTCCTCCCTCCTCCCTCCTCCTCCGTTCCACGGTCACGACACGACGTTTGCCGTGACCGTGGAGTGTGACGATCTGCTCGACCAGCTCCTCACGGAGGCGAACCAGAGCACCGACGAATGTCACGGAGTCCGTGCGTCACGGATTCGGTGCACGACGGAGGCGAGTACGCTGCTGCAGCCTTCGGTGGCGCCTCCAGCAGCACAGACAAGCTGAGCAGCAAGGACTACGCAGGGGTCCTGAAGATCATCAAGGAGGATGATCGCCTCCGCGAGAGCTTTGTGCAGATCGGGGGCTTCGACGGTTGGCTCAAGGAGAAGGCCTCGTCCTGTGCGTGATGCGCGTCGGGTGGCTCGGCATGGCGCAGTGCGAGGATTTCGAGGGCATCGCCCAAGTTTTTCGGCAAGAGGGATGGCCTATGAGGGGGGTATGTCGGGGAGGCGCAGATTCCAGACTGCAGTGTCCTGGCTCGGTCCCGTCTGGCCTCCTGGTCTCGTGCTCCCTGGTTTGGGGCACTGGTGGGCCGCTGGCCCCTCGGGCAAACTCGGGTTTGAGGCCCGCCCAACCCTGGGCTTGCCTACGGGCGGGCCAGCCCGTCCGTCCCCCTCCTGGGGTCGGGCCTGCAGTCTGGATGTGTCCTCTCCTCGGCTGTTTCCCGCGCCCGCGGCGGGGAGCAAGATCTTCGGGACCCTGAGGTAGTCTCCAAGTCTCCAAGCCTCCACGTTCCCCCACAATGATCTTGCGCACGGCGTGGAGATGAGCGGCCAAGCTTCTCCCTCTTTGCCCGCGCCTCTTATCCAGAGGAAGTCAAGCTCCAGCGGGCGCAACCACGATCTCCCCGTGGAGGTGGCCCTCTGGGCTCAGCAGGGTTGGCGCTGGCACCACCGCGTGAGGAAGTGATCGGTGTGTCGGTTGCGGTCCAGGTCAGCTGCGAGACCCCACCCCCGAAAATGCGCGTGGCCAAACCTCGCTGACTCGGACGACGCTGTCTCTAACGGTTATACTCTATCGTTTTGCCTTGCTCGAGTGCTACGGCCTCCTGGTTCTGTTTGGCCTGCGTTGCGTGCCTTTTACACGGGTTGTTTGCAAAGAGTGGGCGCGCGGGACATTGTTCGCGCGCGCTCTCCCGCCGTGATCGCACGAACTCCAGCAAAGCCACGCTGGGCGCCCATCCAATGACGGTGACTTGCGGCTGGACCCGCCATGCGCCCCCTCGTCGTCTGTCCGTGCTGTGCGCAGACGGGCAAGGCTCCCCTTGCTCAGCCCTGGGCGGGCCAGCTGCCGGTGGGTGTTACGAACAACCCTCCTCCACCTCCCCCACGTCCTCCTCATCCACCTCCTTCACCTCATCCTCCTGCTCCTCATCCGCCCCTTTCTCCTCCCCCACCTCCTCCTCCTCCTCCTCTTCCTCCTCCTCCTCCTCCTCCTCCTCCTCCTCCTCCTCCTTCAGGCGGTGGCACTGGGCCAGGAGAAGGCGGAGCATCGAGCTGGGGGGGGCATTGAGGAAGAGCCTGGTATTTTCCTTCCCGCGAAGCTGGCCCCCCTTTCCACTACTGTTGCATGACCGAATTCCAGGCTTCCCAAACATGGTCCGAGTAGAGGGTCGGAGGATCGCGCTGCATCGACGATGCATCGGCGATGCAGCTCGATGTGCGGCCCGATCTTCTCCACGCCGACGCCGCCGATTGCCTCGGCGATGCGGCGCGATCCTCCGACCCCGCCTCTCCCCGCTCGGGAGGCCTCTGAGCTTCCCCGCCCTGGTCTGGGGCGCCGCCCTCCCGCCCCCTGGCCTGGGCTCCCCGCTGCCCTGCGGCAGACCGCCGGGGCCGCCGCCGGGGCGTTCCTGCGCGCCCCGGCGGCTGGCCGTGCTGCGCATGCCGAGGACGAGCCGCCCGGCCCCGAGCTGCGGAAGGTCGAGGAGGCGCGTGGGGGAGCGGGGGCCACGCCGACAGGGAGGTTCGCTTCGGTCCGCATGTCCGCGGAGGAGGGGTCAAGCGTGTTCTGCCGGGTCAGTGGCGGTCAGCGCCGAACCCACGTGGGCCCGACGATCGAAACCGCCCCTGCAGCGGGCCCATCTTCATCTCAGGCGCACGCAGTCGAGGGGAAGGATATTGAAAAACAGGAGAGGGGTGAGGGGGCGGAGGGTGGAGGACGAAGGAGGACGAGGAGGATGAGGAGGACGAGGAGCAGGAGGAAAAGGAGGAGGAGGACGAGGAGGAGGAAGAGGAGGAAGAGGTTGAGGAGGAGGAAGAGGAGGAGGAGGAGGAGGAGGAGGAGGAGGAGGAGGAGGAGGAGGAGGAGGAGGAGGAGGAGGAGCGTATTCATGCTCATGCGTGGGCACCGCGGACCGAGAAATGTGCGCAGGAAGAGGGCTCCCCTCCTATTCCGTCCTCCTTTGCACCGAGGCCCTGGCGTGCCCCTCCTCCTGGAGGGTGCCTTGGTTGTTCGTGCCTTCCATCGGCGAAGGCCATCGGGGCTGTATGGCAGTTCGGACCATCGGATCTATTATCATCATCAGTGCCGAGTGCCGATATGAGGAGGAGGAGGAGGAGGAGGAGGAGGAGGAGGAGGAGGAGCTCGAGGAGGAGGAGGAGGAGGAGGAGCTCGAGGAGGAGGAGGAGGAGGAGGAGGAGGAGGAGGAGGAGGAGGAGGAGCTCGAGGAGGAGGAGGAGGACGAGGAGGACGATGAGGACGAGGACGAGGACGAAAAAGAGAGGGGAGGACGAGGCGGACGAGGAGGGACCGTAATAAAGCCTACATGCATCATCCATGCTGTCATTCGCCTGCCCGTTCCAAGTGCTCACGTCATAAGCCCCTAGACGGATTCCTCTTCACTGCGAGGAGTGCCTTCTTGAAAGACGAGCGACCCATTGTCCAGTAATTCAGGCGAGAGTCCCGGTTGCCATCTATGCTCTCCTGGATGATTATATGGACGGCGACGCGGTAGGATCAGAATGTCCATGGAAGTGTCCAGCGAGAGCCACGTTTGGAAAAAGTGCCGCCAACGAACCGTTCAAACGTTCTCCACTGTGAAACGGGTACTCGCAAACCGACGGAAGCCTCAAGCGAGTGCCCCGATTTGAAAACGAGCCGCCCTCCATCCACATCGTAGTTGCCCATGTGCAGATTCCAGACTACAGGGGCCGAGGACGTCTCGAACGAAGCTCCCGTTTTCACAGGAACCGCCGTCCGTGCACCTGGCATAGACATTTGAGACGAGTGCGCGCGGCGCTGAGGTGAGATCCCCACTTTGGAAACCAGTCCCCCTCCATCCATGTACCCGTAAGAAGTCTATAGTACCAATGTAGGCGGGCGTTTGGACGAGAGACACATTTTGAGAGTGGCCTTTTCCATCCGCGTAGAGGTTGGAAGCTTTGAGAGCAAATGCCCGCGGCGCCAAGGCGACAGCCACATTTCGAACTGAAAGCGACATCCCTCCACATTCCCACCCTCCGTCCGTGTAACTGCTGCCGGCTTTGAAGACGAATACGCGCAGCCTGAGGGCGAGAGCCACATTTTGAAAAGACACCCGCACTCCATCGGCGTAGCTGTTCCAAGCTTGTAAGACGAATGTGCGCTCTGCTCAGACGAGAGAGGCAGTTTCACAACGACACCTGCTCTAATTGTTTAATTGTTGGAAGCTTTAAGTTTCGGAATCATGACTGAGGAGGATGACTCGAATCGCCCGGCCCGCCAATCCGTCACGTCTGGTGGTCGGATGGACCTTACGGGGATGCCCGCACAAAGTCATTTCTCTTCCCCCTTCCTCCTGTTCCTCATCTGCATGTTACAATCGCGCACACAATGTCTTACAGTGCATTTGCATGTTGGTATATTTGAGTGCGATGCCTTGCCCGAAGGGTTGTGTTATCGATTGCCATCCCGTGTTCGCTACCATCGGTCCGGTGTTCAGCAAAAAGTCGACCTGTGCGGGCCGTTCACCCCAGAACAGGGAGGTATCAGAAGAGAGCCCCCGGTGCGGGGAAGCCTGGCCAAGCGCCACCTGATCGTACCTGACCATGAGTGAAGCACGCGTCTTACAACCAGGAACAGTTGCTGAGCGTGTCGCGCCGCCGGTTCTGGCGGCCCACGACGCTTCGGGGCGACACGCTAGCCACGTCCCGGTCCCCTAGCGCCGACGTCCCAGGCTCCTCTTAGCCACCCGCCCCCGCGGAGTGGAGCGACACGCTATCAGCTTGCTTGGCGTAACGCGTCGACGTGGCCGCCGCCCACGAGCTCCGGAGCCACCCCGAAGAAGGGGGACGGAGGCGGATCTTGGGGAGAGGGAGGCGAGGAGGCCACAGGCGGGGTGCGTGGGCACAACGGGCTGCCACCCGCCCTCCGAGACGGACGAAGGGAAAGAGGTCGCCCCACTGAGTGCTTAGACGGCGCGCTGGTGGGTCTACTCCAGAGGCCTGCGCCACTCCGCCGACCCCCAGACAGTGAGACGTGGGGCTTCCGATGCCGTGAGCGTCGTGTGCCGCTTCCCGGCGAGCTGCCTGCGTGCGGCTGCCGCTGATGCGGCAGCCCCCTCCCCCGCGAACGTTGCGCAGGGCCTCCTGGAGAGAAGCCTCCTTTTTTTTCCCCAGCCAGTGCTTGCGCTGAAGGGGTCCTAGCAGATATTGAAAGACCTGGCGAAAGTTTCCCGCCGAGCTGGGTTCCCGGGTTCCCGGTTCCAGGTTCTCGGGTTCCTGGTTATTGGTTCCGGGCTGATTTCGGTGGATTCCATGTTCCCGGGTTCCCGGTCGATCTCCTTATCGATGTTTTGATCGACCCCACGATTCATCAAACCATCCAATGATTGGGGTTTTTCTCTGGTATAATTGTTGAATGGTTCCTCGGCGCTCTTGGGGGCCCTCTGGGGGCTTCTTCGGGGGGAACCTTTGGTGGGGCCATCCTGTGGGGGAGGCCTCCTCCCGGGGTCCCTGCGACTTGCCCCGCTTGGGCCTCCTCCTGGAGGTAACCAAGGGGTGCTGCGTAGGATTAAGTCGGGCTCGTCCCTCCACAGGAGGAACATTCAAAAACAGTCCAGAAATAGCCTGGGGACGATTTTTTGAACATTGTTCGACTATTTTGGGGTATTTTTTGGGTATGTTTAATTTTTCGTCCAAAATCCGCCTGTAAGAGGACATGCCCGACCTAACCGTAGGAGGAGGGGGGGAACGAGAACGAGGAGGAGAGGGAACAGGGCGTCGATCAGTCGCGAGCCCCTGGAGCCTTTCTATCCAACCCTCCACTCCCTCTCACAAAGTGGGCCAGAGAAGATCGGGGGGCATTTCCACCAGCCTCACGCAGGGTTCGCACTGGGTGGAGGCCGACCGAAGGCCGGGTGAAGCTGTCGGAAGTGAAACAGAGTTGGCGCTGCTGGAGGAAAGTGGTGGAAGCTGACGGGAGTCAAAGTTTACCACCGATAGAGGCCAGCACGTCGGAGTCAACGACATCGTACCTAGGGGTCCCGGCTTCGACCATTTGGATGGCCTCCGTAATTCAAAATCAGGTGTCGCAGAACTCATGCCGTGGAAGACGGGAAGATGGGCGGTATCTCTGGACACCTTCTACGAGCTGGTTTCCTGCCGAAAGCGGACCTGGGTGTCTTGGCCATATTTACATACTCTTTGTCGTCCTCCCCGTTCTCGTCCTCATCGTTCTCATCTCTCCCCTTCCTCCTCTAGTCTTGATTCTTTCAGGGATGCCACACTCATCAATCGCGCTCGCCACATCGTGACCCTCTCACTTGTCTTGATACCCATGGTGTGAGCCTGAACGCGAACTCCTGCAGACACAGTACTTCGGCGCCTTGAGCCCGTCCTCTCCGCTGGGGCAGTTTGACTCAAGTTGCGTCTGTCTGCCCGTGCTCCCAGAGGCCTTCGCGAACAGCATCATGGCGAACAAGATCATAGCCACGGTCAAGGTCAGGGGATGATTAGTATCCACCACCAGACAAGATTCGGGCGGACCCAGATAAATCTTTCTAGAGCGCTCCTGAACGCGATTGGAACGACCGCTGTGCCAGATACATCCACTGTCACCGCTGGATATCAGAGATCTCCAGTTTTTCTCGGTCCGATTTTGTCCTGGCTCTGCCTTCGTCTGAAAGACCTGTGCTCAAACAAGCCCGAGGCGACATCCCAGACTTCTGGTTCCCCGAACCTTGCTGAGCACGTGCACGTTCGGAGCACTCGAGCCCTCTCCCGCATGGACTTGGTGCTCTGGATCGTCTTGATTGTCTGGCCTCTGGAAAGGCCCTGCGTCTTCTGCGCAAGAGGGCCTGTGGCAGGACCCTCTCTGACGGTCCGTCCTCCAGGGCAGTCCTCGGCGCGGGAATGATTCCCTGTGCGAGCATCGCCTTGGCTTACATCGATGTGCATTGCTCTGACCTGAATTGTTTTGCATGCCGTTGTTTCGTATTCGCGCTGCATCGCTTTGCGCTGCGTCGCTCCCCGCCCCCGGACCCAGCTCCTCCAAGAGGCGCGCGACGATGAGCACAACTCGCACCACTAGCACAGCTGGCACAACTGGCACAGCTAGCACACCTTGCGCAACTAGCACAACTAGCACACCTGGCGCAACTGGGTCCCTCCCCCTCCCTCCCTCCGTGCCCCTCCCCCTCTCCGTTGCTCCCTCCCGCAATCCTCGTGCATGTTGCATGTTACGTTATTTCTTTCAGCCAATACTCGCTGTTCCCGCAGTCTTGTGCCGTTTTGACGTTTCTGTTTGCCCTCCGGTCTTCCCAGCCCCCTGGTTCCATTGATACGATTTGGGGTGAATTCGTATCGACCTGCGTCTTGGCTTCCGTTGTGCGCATTATACAAATGACCGGCCTGGTCATACGGGGAGCCCCCACAACGTTTTTGTCCAGACTCCTCTCCCGCGCGCTCTTTCTCTTCCTCTCCGCCTCCGCCCCCGAAACGTCGTGAAAACTGCGCGTTTCACCGCAGCAGGGCTGCGCCGCAGCGTGTGCCCGAAGGTGCTATTTGTTTTCCTTGGCCGCTACTCAGAATGTTGTTCGCCATGGGACCCAGCTGAGCCTGTGAGGACACTTTTTGGAGGCATTACGTTGCCAGATAAGGCGCGGCGCCTGAGCCTGTGAGGACATTTTTTGGAGGCATTACGTTGCCGGATAAGGCGCGGCGCCTGAGCTTGTGAGGACATTTTTTGGAGGCATCACGTTGCCGGATAAGGCGCGGCGCCTGAGCTTGTGAGGACACTTTTTTTTGGAGGCATTACGTTGCCAGGAGAAAAAAAAAAACACCTGGCACACTTGGCACAACTAGCACACATGGCACCACTGGCAGACCTTGCACAACAGGTTCAACCGGCACCAGTGGCACACCTGGCACAACGAGCACAACTGGCAAATTAGCACGGCTGGTGCAACTACCACAACTGGCACAACTGAGACAACTTGCACACCTGGTACACTTGGCACAACTAGCACACCTGGGACACCCGACAACAGTCACACCTAACACAACTAGCACACCTGGCACACCCGGCTCACCTGGCACAACTGGCACAACAAGCACAATTCGCTCTGGCACAACTAGCACACCTGGCACACCTGTCACAATTGGCGCACATGGCACAACTAGCACACCTTGCACACCCAGCACACCTGGCACAATTGGGACGGACACCTGGCACAACTAGCACACCTGGCACACCCAGCACACCTGGCACAATTGGGACACCTGGCACAACTAGCACACCTGGCACAACTGGCACACCTGGCACAACTAGCACACCTGGCACACCTGGCACAACTGGCACAACTGGCACAACTAGCACACCTGGCACAACTCTGGCACAGCTGGGACACCTGGCACAACTAGCACAACTAGCACACGTGTTTCAACTGACACCCCGGGCAGACCTGGCACAACTAGAACAACCAGCACACCTCACGCAACTAGCACAACTGGCACACCTGGCACAGCTAGCGCACCTGGTACACCTGGCACACCAGGCGCGACTGGAGCAGCAGGAGAATACCTGGCACAACTGGCACAATATAGACTGCACAACTGGCACACCTAGCACACCTAGCACAACTGGCACAACACTTGGCAGATCTAGCACGCCTGGCACGAGTAGCACAACTGGCACCACTAGCGCACCTGGCATAACTGGCACAACTAGCACAACGAGCATAAGTTGGCACAACTGCCACACCTGGCACGAACAGCACACATGGCACTGATAGCACAGCTGGCACAACTAGCACACCTGGCATCACTGGCTCAGATAGCACACCTGGCACAACTGGCGCAATTAGCGCACCTGGGACACCTGTCACAGCTGGCGCACCTATTGCAACTAGCACACCTGGCACTCCACACCTGACACAACTCGCACACCTGGCACAACTGGCATAAGCTGGCGCAACTGGCGCATCTCTGGCACAACAGACAGAATCGGCACAATCCGTATAAGCCTCGCACAGCTTTCACAACTCTGGCACAACAAGCCAACAGGCACAACCCTGGCACATCAAGCATAATTTTGGCACAAAGGCAGATCTCTGCCCCGCAGCGGGCCGATAGCTGGCACATCCAGGCGGTCCCATCATTCCTGTGGAAGAGAACAACATCAATGTGTTTCGTCTGAGGATGGGCGTTCGCCGTCGATGATGCAAAATGCTTAGCAGGAGCAAGACATGGCGCACTTCGCGCGCGAAACAGCGAACTGTCACTCTCGTGTCCGCGCCGCACATATTTGTCCTGTGCGGTGCGCTTCCGCTTGGGCGCGGCGCGCACCGAATCGTTGGCGGCGTCGTCGTGGACGTCGTCGTCGTCGTCGTCGCCGTCGTCGTCGGCATCGGCGTCGTCGTCGTCGTCGCCGCCGCCGTCGGCATCGGCATCGTCGTCGTCGTCATCTTTTCGTTGTTTTGTTCCACGATTTTTCGTCGATCTTCCATTTCTTCCCAGATGCTTTCTATTAGTTTCCAAGATTTTTTCCTGGGGCCCGTTCTCAGGCCCCAGGGCCGTCAGAAACGGATCTGGAACGAAAAGCTGCGCCATGGGGGCGCTGGAATCGTCCCGAACGGCCGCTGGATGCCCGAGGTGACCGGGAAACCGACCAGGGTTCGAGCCTCGAGCCTCGAGGATCGAGGTTCGAGGTTCGAGGCTTTCTGGTCCTCGGGGGGCCCCCTCGTCGCCACGGCCAGGCGCTGCTCGAACAACGGGTGCGTTTGGAACCCGGGAGGGGTCCACGGTCAGGGGTGCGTTCCTGCTCTCGTGTTTGCGCTGGGCACGGCGCCGCTGACACCTTCCAACTGTGCCGATAGTGTTTCCTATGATGTGGGCGGGCGGGCCAGCCTGCGCTCGAGCTAGCCAGCTTGACTCCTATCCTCTATACCTTCTTACTTATACATGGTCCAGGGTCTGGGCCCACCCTGATGCTGATGCCATCGGGCCCCCCCCCCCGCTCGATGCCCTCCCCCCCTGGGGGTGTGGTGTGGTGCTGTGGCTGTGGCGTGTGTGGCGTGGTACTGTGGTGCTCCAGGAGAGCTCCGGAGGTCGTCGTCGCCGCCACCGCCGTTGTCGTCGTCGGAGGGTTCTAGAGGTCGGCGCCGCCGCCGCCGTCGTTGTCGCCGTCGTCGCCGTCGCCGTCGCCGTCGTCGCCGCCATCGTCTTCGTCGCCGTCGTCGTCGTTGTCGTCATCGTTGTCGCCGTCGTCGCCGTCGTCGTCGTGGCCGTCGTCATCGTCTCCGTCGCCGTCGCTGTCGTCGTCGTCGTCGTCGTCGTTGCCGTGGTTGTTGTCGCCGTCGTCGTCGTTGCCGTCGTCGTCGTCGCCGCCGCCGCCGTCGTCGTCGTCGTCGTCGTCGTTCCCCACCAGGCACAACAGGCACAACAAGGTGGGATGGGCATGCGAAATTGACCACGCACTACAGGCACACCGACCACGCACAACAGGCCCAACAGACACAGCAGGCACACCGACCACGCACAACAGGCACAAGGACCAAGCACACCAGGCACGACGCCTACGTAGGCACAACAGGCACAACGACCAAACTGACCAGGCACAGCAGGCACACTGACCAAGCACAGCAGGCACACCGACCAGGCACACCAGGCACACCGATCAGGCGCACCATGCACACTTCCACTCCCACGATCCGCTTTCACTACACCTGAGTACGTACCGCACCCACCTCACGTACCCACTCCCACGTCCCAGTTCCACTCCTGCGTCCACTCCGCAGGCTCACACACGTGCCTTCTCCTCCACTCCCACTCATAACAACACCAGATGATTCTATAGGCTTACGCCACATCCGCCGACCCTTATATTTGATATTGTGCCTCCAGGACTGCATGTCACGAGGCTTCTCCGAGTCATGACACGACGCTCGACATCGTTATTGTTGTTTCGTTGCTGTTATCGTACCTTTTGGTGCTCTTTTGTGGCCTTTTGGTGGCATCTTGGCCTGTCTGCAGGTCGCATTCGGCCGCCTCGAGGCATCTCAGGCCAAGTTTGGGGGCCTCTTGGGGGCTTCCTGGGGGCTTCTTGGAGGCTTTTGAGGTTCTCTTGGGGGTCCCTCAGGGCCTCTTAGGGTTTTCTTGGGCAGGCTGGGGTCGTCTTGGGGCCGAAGGCTCGAAAAGGTGCCCTCTGGACTCCGTCTTGGAGCCGTCTGGGGGCCCTCTTGGGCTGTCTTGGGGGCTTCGTGGGCTGTTGTGGGGCCCTGTTCGACCCTTCTTGGGGGCCCCTTTGGCCGTCTGGGGGCGATATTGAAGGTTTCTTTGTCCGTCTGGGACGTTGTGAAAACCGAATAGGCGAGCATATGAAAAATGCTTGTTTTTCCTAGGGAAAGGGACGATTTTTGTTTCTTGGGACCCTCTTGGGGCGCATCTTGGGGGCCTTTTGGGGCGTCTTCGCAGCTTCGGAGGCCGCCTGGAGGCCATCTTGGGTGTACAGGGGCGATATTTCGGCGAATCGTGGTCCGGCTCCGGATCCCGATGCGGCCGTAGATGCGACCGGCCCTCGCCTCCCTGGCCCTCTCGAGAGAGGTCGTCGACGCTATCGGCTCGAGACCGCGACTCGGCCATAGATGCGACCGGCCCTCGCCTCCCTGGCCCTCTCGGGAGAGGTCGTCGATGCTATCGGCTCGAGATCCCGATGCGGCCGTAGATGCGACCGGCCCTCGCCTCCCTGGCCCCCTGTGTGGCAACATCCCGCTTAGTCTGTCCCCCTCCCGCCCAGTTCGCCTCAATATTGCACCCGATTGTGCTTAATCCAGCTAACAGGCAACCCGCAGAACCGAGGACTTCTTTGGGCTCAGGAGTGGCCCTCGTTTGGGGGCTGTTCCTTAGACCCAGGTCGGGGAACACATTCGTGGCCGAGGCTCGCCGTGGCCGTAAAAACCACTCTCCTCAGTTGGCGCTCCTTTACATGGTAGCGCGGTCATGGTAATGGCCCCCGCGGATCACGCCTCGAGCGCCGCGACCCGAGTCGGAGAGCGGCCCTTACATCCGTGGTGGTCTCGCGAGTGCGCGGAAGCAGCCGCGCGTCCGCGCGTCGCGGGGCGCGGGGAAGTGGTCAGTTGGGGCACGACCTTCGTTTCGAGCCGTGGTCCTTCCTCCCCCCCGCTTCCCCACGCCTTCTCCCTGGACCTCCGGCGGGCTTCCCCGGACTCTCCCCATCTCGGAGCTGTCCTGGCACGCCCGTGCTCAAGCACAACACGTACCGTGCTCCGAGCGTCCGTGTTCACACGCTGCGTGTTGGCTCGGCACGTGCTGGTCCACATTTGGGCGAACGTGTCGCGCCAGACTTACGTTTTGAGTCTATGTGTTGAGCTCCGTGTCAACACGCTGCGTGGTGCGTGTTGCGTATCGGGGCAGTTAAGCTCCCCGTATTCTAGACGCTTCGCGCAACCCCACCATTCAGTGCATGTGCACACCACGCATTCTTTGCAAATTAGCCCCGTACCGTGACCCGGACGCCGCTTCCGCTCCCTGTCCGTTGCCTCGAAGCCGCCGACCAAAAAAAAGTAACCCCACCATCGCTTCCTAGCTAATTTGCCTAGTTCGCGTCCCGGACTTTGCTCTCGCCGCCTGACCGTCGTCTCGCGGCCGCGACCGAAAAAGTAACCCCACCATCCCATCCAGAAACGAAGCCCAGTCGAGTTGCTCTGATCAGGGAGGTAGAGGAGCAGGCAGTGGAATCAAGGGCCGGGGAAGCCGCCGTACCCCAAGAGGGGGAGGATGGAGGAGGAATCGGAAGTGGAGGATGGGGAGGGGGAGGAGGGAGAGGGGAGGAGGACAAGCTAGGTGCGCTCGCGTCATATCTGACGTCCTACCCCTCCCTCCCATCCCTTACCATGGCGCTGATTTTCTCTATCCGCGGACGCGTGTCGTAGCGGACCTGTGGCACGTGCGTGCGTGCGTGCGTGTGTGCGTGGTTGTCGTGGTGGTGGTGGTGGTGGTGGTGGTAGTGGTGGTGGTGGTGGTGGTGGTGATGGTGGTGGTGGTGGTGCTGGTGGTGGTGGTGGTGCTGGTGGTGGTGGTGTTGGTACTAGTGCTGGTGCTGGTGGTGGTGGTGGTGGTGGTGGTGGTGGTGGTGGTGGTGGTGGTGGTGGTGGTGGTGGTGGCGGTGCGGCGCGGTGGTGGCGGGCGGATGGGCGCGCGAGAAAAAGGCCCGCGCTGGGGCGAGAACGCCATCCTGAACGACGGAGGCCAAACACCGATCCGAAAATGAGGCCCACGCTGCAGCGGGAGCACGATTCGGAACGACTCGGGAGCAGAAATGAGGCCGGCGCCTCAACGAGAGCAGCATTTTGGGAAAAAATGACGCCGGCGCCTCAGCGAGAGTCGTTTCCCGAGATTTCCCGGGCATCCTGTGTGTAAAAAAACAATACGCGGAGGGTGCGCGGCCATCACCCGGACGCCATCAGGTGAAGAGGGAGAGTATTTTCATATTGAGTAACTGTGGAGGAGGATGAGGAGGAGGAGAAGGAGGAGGAGGAGGAGGAGGAGGAGGAGGAGGAGGGCGAGCAGAAAGGCCAGGGGCCTCTCGGATGCCTCTCGGAGTCTCTTCGCATGTCTCAGAGTTTCTTGGGGCCCTGTCGGAGCGTCTTGGGGACCTCTCGGCGGTCCCAGGGGCATCGTGGAGCGTCTTGGGTGTCTCGGGAGAGCTTGTTGGAGCCTTCTGGGGGTCTCTTGGGAGCCTCGTGGGGACCCTCGTGGGGACCTCTTGGGGCCTCTTGTGGCCCTCTTGGGGCCGTCTTGGGGCACTCTTGGGAGTCTTCGGGGCCATCTTGGGGCCATCTCGGAGGAGCGATCAAAGAAGGGGGGGTACCTAATCATGCCCCCCCCCCCCAGGAGGCCGACATGGGTCCCAAACCTAATTAAAATCAATGAAGTTTGCCTTCTCGCCGAGGCCGTCGTGAACGCTCCAACGCCTCGCGGAACGGCCCGTCCAGGTCCAGGGGGAGAGGGTATGCAAAACCTTCCCTGATGGGGAAGAAGGGGGGGTGGCAGAGGAAACGCTCTCAGCCACACGCGCTGAGGTGCTGGTGGGATTTCCCCAGACTTCTTGGACCTCCTCCGGACTTTCCTGGTGGGTTTCCCTGCACTTCTCTCGCGCGTCCACGACCCGGCTCAACGTCTTGGCGCATGCGCATCTCAGCCGACCTCGGAGCTGACCCCTCAGAGTCCCCCCTGGGCCTCTCCAGGCCTCCCAGATGGGGTCCCAGCAGATGGGGTCGAAGGACCACTCCGCATCGCTGATGCATCGACGATGCGGTTCGGCGCGGAGCGAAATTTTCCCCACGGCGATGCATCGCAGATGCATCGCATATGCAGTGGCGATGCAATGGCGATACAGCGCGATCCATTCCTGGAACGCGCTCTGGCAGGGTCTGCGAGGTTGACCTAGCCTTGGCGACAAGGGGCCCACCAGAAGCCCTCAGAAGATGAGGATAAAGTTCACAGTTCAGGTTGCAACTCCTGGGAGGTGTCATACGGCATCGGTGCTAGTATCCAGGTTTATCTGGCCGAATCTGGCTGAATCTGGCTTTGTCCAGCGCTAATTCGCGTATCCCCACCAGCCTATCCAGAAACGATACCCATGAGAGTCGTTTAAATAAAGAGGTTGAAGAGGGGAGCAGGAGGAATAAGACGACCAGGAGCAGGAGGAGGAGGAGGAGGAGGAGGAAGAAGAAGAGTGGGAGGAAGAGGAGAAGGAGGAGGAGGAGGAGCACGAGGAGGTTGAGGAGGAAGAGGTAGAGGAGGAGGAGGAGGAGGAGGAGGAGGAGGAGGAGGAGGAGGAGGAGGAGGAGGAGGAGGAGGAGGAGGAGGAGGAGGAGGAGGAAAGGGCGAGAAGGAGACGGAGGACGACGAGGCCATCTTGGGCCCTGAAATGCTTCGGAGGAGGGTGGGGGATGGAAGAGGGTGTAGGCGGGGGGGGGGTCGACGGGGGCGGGGTGGACGAAGGTGGAGGGGGAGGGGGGGAGGGTTCGTTCAGTCGTTCCTGCGACGACTTCCAGGGATATGTCTCCAAACACAGCGGCGAACTTATGATACGCCCCCATCCTTTCCTTGCGAGGGGATCGACGAGGCCGCTAGCCAGGCGAACGCGTGAATGCTCCAACGACCCGCGACCCCCCCCCCCCCAATCCAGACCCTGGAGGTTGCAGGGGGAGGTTAGCAGAACCGACTCGTGAAACACACAGCTCACTCGCTAGCAGCATGAGGTCATCCGAAGCGGAGGCCCAGAAGAGCCCCCTCGTTCCTCATTCAGTGCCCCTTGTGGCAGGACCACGGCTCTACACCTCCTCCTCCTCCTCCTCCTCCTCCTCCTCCTCCTCCTCCTCCTCCTCCTCCTCCTCCAGGAACCAACGCCAGGGTCGACACGGCACGGACCTGCCGTACGCCTCCTCCTCCTCCTCCTCCTCCTCCTCCTCCTCCTCCTCCTCCTCCTCCTCCTCTGACCCCCTCTCCCCGCGAGGGCATCGACGTGGCCGCGAGCGAGGCCAACGCGTGGACGCTCACCGGCGCCATGCCCACCACCTTCGAGGCCCGCAGACGGGGGCTGGCCATGGGCCATTCATGCAGCTTGCGGCCGGCTCGCGGCAGCAGTTGCCGCCGCCGCCGTCGTCCCATGGAAGGAGGAGGAGGAGGAGGAGGAGGAGGAGGAGGAGGAGGAGCAGGAGAAGGAGGAGGAGGAGGAGGACGAGGAGGGGAGGAGGAGGAGGAGGAGGAGGAAGAGGAGGAGGAGGAGGAGGAGGAGGCAGACGACGATTGTGATGGTGAGGAGGGAGAGGAGGACGATGGAGGACGATGAGGACTATGCGGTCAGGGGCGGCCTGCGTAAAATGTGGGATCGCCGAAGACCGTGAAGATGACGAGGATGAGGTTGAGGAGGCGGGACGATGTGTGTCAGGTGGATCTCAAGGGTCCCAGAGAGGCTTCTGGGGGCTCCGGGGGGGGTCCCAACAGAGAAAGAGAAGAAGGAAGGATGAGGAGGGGAAAGGCGGAGGGAAATGAGGCTCTACAAGGATGCGGCGAGTGATTATGTTGTAGTATTGCAAGTTTCAGGTGGGTTGGTACGGAGGCGTAATTACACATACGGTGTTCTCGGAAGCAATTGGCGGGGGAAGTGAAGAAGGAGAAAAAGGAGGAGGAGAAGTCGACTAAAAATATGCCATCGCCTTCGGCGGGAGCATCGTCGACCCTGAAGCGAAATTGAAACGAAAGGGTCGAGCCTGCAAGGTGGCCCCAACCACGACGCCAATCCAAACGGCAATGGAAATAATGATATGATATCGCGACCCGCACGACATGAGCTGAAATGAACAAAGTTCCCGCGTCAAGCAAACGAGCAAGAGAGAGGAGACGGAAGAGGAGGAGAAGTGGAGGCGGAGGGAGGAAGGAGGGGGGCGACTGCGCGCTCGCACCGGGCGTTCCGGCCTCGAAGCGGCCAGCCGGCATGGGTCCACACGTGCACCTCGATTCGGAAGAGGAGGAGGCGGAGGGAGGAAGGGAGGGAGGCGAGCGAGGGGAGAGGGGATAGTGCCCGGGAGTCCGCTGCAAGCTATCGTGTCCAGTCTATTCCTCCTCCTCGCATCCTCCGCCTCCTCCTCCTCCTCCTCCTCCTCCTCCTCCTCCTCCTCCTCCTCCTCCTCCCTGCGTGCGCTCTCGTTTGCGGGCCGAATTTTGTGACATTTTCGTTGCGTGTCGTCGCGCTTCTGAGCTTTCCGTTGGGTGCCGTCGGAGCCCCCTTGAGGGGATGTGGATGCAGTACGAACCCAGAGCTGTGATAGCTGGTGGGCGTTTGCGGCGGGGGGGAAAAAGGAAAAGGTGGAGATCCTGTGGGATTTGCGGCAGGCCCTTCAGTTTCTAGAACGTCATGGGAGATTCGGTCCGCGCAGGCGGGAAATGGGATGATGAGGACGAGGCGGGATGGTATGAGCGACTGGAGGGGAGGGAGGAAGGAGGAAGACGAGCGGGGGGGTTGGGTGGGGGGACGAGATGGGATGGACTGGTAGGGGGAACGGGGATGCATCCCCCTCCAGCCCCTTCCGGGCTACCGCTGCTCCCCTCCTGGCGTCTCCCTTCCCCACATCCTCTCCCCAATCTCCCGCTCCCCCTCCCTCACCGTCTCCCCTTCCCCCCCTCTGCCCGCCTCCCTCCGTCTATCCAGCTCCACCTCGTCTTCCACACTCTAGAGATTCAGATTCTGAATGCTGTACTCTTTTCTCCCCTGACTCCGACCAGAAGATAGCCGGTACTCTCCGCGTGCAGGATTAGACAGAGGTGGTTTGTTTTGTTTTGATGTTGCAGTTCGACTGTTTTCGGTGGCTTGAAATGGTATTCCCGCTGCAGCGTGGCCCTTATTTTCGGATCGGCGCTTGGCTCCCTCGCCCCAGCGCGGCCTCACTTTTTGATCGTTGTCGCCACACTCATTTCCCCCCTCCGCCTTCCCCTGGTCCTCTTGCTCCTCCCGCTCCTTCCACTCCAGTTCCTGCTGCTTTTGCTCGTCCCCCTCCTTCAACATCCTCCTCCTTTTCCTTTTTCTTTTTCTCCGGATCACCCATCACTTCCTCCGCCTCCTCTTCTCTCTTCCCCTCCTCCTCCTCCTCCTCTTCCTCCTCCTCCTCCTCCACCACCTCCACCTCCACCTCCTCCTCCTATGTACGCAGCTTCCCATTGCGCATAACGCGATAGGGTGGCTTCATGTCCTGGCATCCCCAGATGGGAGAGAGCGCGTTCTGTGGACGCCAGGCTTGGGGGGGGGTTCGAACGGGAGGGGGTGGGGGGCCCTCCCCCTGAGATGAAAGGGGGGGGGGTGTCCGAAGCGGGGGGGGGCCCCCCCCCCCGAGGCGGGGAGGGAGGAGTTCGAACCGGGTGGAGGGACCCCCCCCCCCCGAGTTGCAAGTGGACTGGGGGGGCTGTTCCAAGCGATCCCCCCTCCTCCCCTGGTGCAGGGTGGGCGGCTCGCACCGGGGGAGCAGCCCCTGCCCCTCAATCGTAGGGGGGGTGTTCGAGCAGAGCTCCCCCCTCCTCTCTGAAGTTGGGGGGCTCAATTTCAGTGGCCCCCCCCCTGATGGCAAGAAGGGGGAGGTGTTAGAACCAGGCCCCCCTCCCCCCTTTGCAACCGACGTCGGCGAGCGCCAGCGCCAGCGCCGGCGTCATCGGGCAGCGGCGACGACGACGACGACGACGGTCACAACGGTGATGGCGACGACGACGAAGGTGACGACGCCGACGACGACGCCGACGGCAACGACGACGGCGACGACGACGACGATGACGACGACGGCGACGACGACGACGACGGTGACGCTGCCTACGACGACGACGGCGACGGCGACGGCGACGGCGACGGCGACGACGACGACGACGGTGACGCTGCCTACGACGACGACGGCGACGGCGACGGCGACGGCGACGGCGACGGCGACGGCGACGGCGACGACGACGACGACGACGACGCCGACGACGACGCCGACGGCAACGACGACGACGACTACGATAGCGACGGTAACCGCGACGACGACGATTGATCCTTTCCCTCCCTCGCTTGCTCGCTTGCTCGAGCGAGCGAGCGAGCACGCGAGCACCATGCATTTAATGTCCCGCCCGCCCGACTCGCTCGCTGCTTCGCTTGCTCGAGCGAGCGAGCGAGCAGCCGAGTTCAATGCATTTCATGTCCCGCCCGCTCGAACCGACCCTCGCTTGGTTCATCGAGCGAGCAAGCGATCTCCATGCATTTGATGTCCCGCCCGCCCGACCTGACCGGTCCGGCTCACTCGCTCGCATGCTTGTTCCAGCTAGCGAGCGAGCCAACGACCACCATGCACTTCATGTTCCTCCCGCCCGACCCGATCCGCTTGACTCTCTCGCTCGTATCCTCGAGCGAGCGAGCGAGCGAGAGGATCGACTCCCTCCTTCCCTCGCTCGCTCGCATGCTTGCTCCAGCGAGCCAGCGAGCAAGCGAGCACCCGTCGTCGTCGCCGTCGCCGTTCATCGCCGTCGTCGCCGTTGTCGTTGACGTCGTCTTCGTCGTCGCCGTCGGCGTCGCCGTCGCCGTCACCGTCGTTGTCGTCGTCGGCGTCGTCACCCCCGTTGTCGTCATCGCCGTCGCCGGGGTTGTCGTCGTCGGCGGAGGCGGCGGCGGTGGCACCGTGATCGTCGTCGTCGTCGTCGTCGTCGTCGTCGTCGTCGTCGTCGTTGTCGTCGTCGTTTTCGTCGTCGTTGTCGTCGCCATCGCTGCCCGACAGCGTCGTGCTCACACTCAGACTATCTCTGACTGACGCCCAGTCTTGCTTTGACCACTCGCACTCAAAAACACTTTCAAAGTTTAGTCACACTCAGACACATCGAATCACTCACAATAAGACTCTCTCAAACTCAGACCCGCTCTCACTCAGACTCACCCTCACTCAGGCTCTCATACCTAGTCCACTCCTACCCAAAATTTCTCGTAGCCCAGACACTCGAAGCGGAAAGTGCCAGGAAACGAGATGCACATATGGCGATCTCCGCGTCGAGAAATCTGGAGTTCCAGGTAGGCGATGACACTCTTAGGTCGGCGACGACACCTTTCTTCCCCTCCGAGGAACGCCAAGTGGCCGAGAGGGAGGGGGAGGAGGAGGAGGAGGAGGAGGAGGAGGAGGAGGAGGAGGAGGAGGAGGAGGACGAAGCAGGGCAGGCGGGGATGGGCGCCGCGCAGCCTGGCACTCACCCTTTGGTCAAGTCAAGGCAGCGTGCACGGCCGGCGCGGCGAAGCCAGCCACCTGGCTTCGGGCGCCCCCCGCCCGCTGTGGGGCCAGCAGCAGCAGGCCAGCCGCCCTCTCGCCGGCAGCACGGGCGCCCAGCAGCCACACCTAAGGCAAGCGACCCAGCTGGGCCCTCGGGCGGTGACGTGTGGCCTCCAAGCCCGGCCGGCGAATAGCGCGCGCGCCGCCTCTGCTGCGCGCGGCCGCTGCCCGGCGTCGGCCAGGCCCTGCTGCCCGGGCAGCGCCGCTGCGGCCGCGACCGCGGCGTCGTCTGCTACCAGAGGCACGCGTCGCCTCGGAGGCCCAGCCCAGCGGCGCCGCACGCGGGGCCCGCCCAGGCCCGATGCGTCCGCCGTGGTTCGTCTGCAACGCTGCCAGCTCGCCGGCAGTGAGCACTCGCTGCAGGACCTTGCGCGCGCGCAGCCCGGCCGCGCGCCCCATGCAGTATGCCCGCCTGCGGTGGACGCTCTGCTGCAGCTGCTCTGGCGAGCTGGTCTGCAGCGGCGTTGCCGAGGCGGTCCTCCTCCGAGGCCCCGCGCGCCGCGGCGGCGCAGGTGGGCATTGGCCCACCGGGCTACCGCGAATCCCGAGCGGCAGTGGGGCGCGGACTGCCTCCACAGGTCGGCGCGCGACCAACCTCACGGAGATCCGCCGTGGCCGAGCGCAGCCATGCCATGTCGGACATATTACGAATCCGTGATCACCTTCAGGGGCCTGCCCGCGAGGTGAACGGCTTGCAGCGCTGCGGTGACCTCGGCGCGCTGGGCGGCCTGCACGCCGTCCACGGGGCCGCTGC